TTAAGGGTTTAGAAACTGTTTTTGGTGAGAAATATAATCACCTCTTATTACTTGGTATAATTGGTTGAGACGAGGGTTTGACAAATATCTGTATATTTTGAGAATTTTCTAATTTGATGCTTTGTATATTGGCGAGTAATCTTGAAAGTTTCGATTGTGTTATTGGATTTAGAGTGTTAACAACATTTGTGAATGATCAACATTGTGAGTAAACCTTTTGGCTGAATATCCAAGCGTTTAAAGAGAAAAATTTTGATGTTATTTCTTATACTTTGAAGTTTATTTTTTATTTTTTATTTTTCCATTGTTGATATCAAATGTTTGTTTGGGTAGTGTTTGTATGTTTAAAAAAAAATAGTTAGTATTTGGTAAATAAAAAAGTTGCAAAAATTGAATTGGAATTTCAAAATGAAAATAAAAACGGTGGATAAATTTCTACTAGAAAGATTTGTGTATTCAGTGGCCATGTTATTCCGTGTTTGTTAGGATCCGCGGTTAGATTAATTTATTTGAAGATCCGAAGATTAACCTGCCCCCAAATATGTATTATTTATCAAGGAGACAGGCAGACAGGAAGCTGACTTGCCTGGCAAGTCTTCAGATCAAGCCATGCACAATGGAAAGTTCCTGGATGGAGGAAACCGCCAAGCCACCGCCGGGAGCAGGGTGTTTGCGGTGCCACGCACCTCATCCACAATCTGATGCAAATCAATCAACTACATTTTTTTTTTTAACGAGCTGTCCCAGCTTGCGCCAGACTATATCCTCGTCCCTGAACCTCCGGCCCCTCAGTAGCTCAGGGAGGTAAATCGCGGGATGTGCCCTTGTTGGTTCCCCGGTTCCCACACGGCTTTTACTCCTTCCCCAAAGGGAGCCTCTTCACTGCCTTACAGCAACTTGCCTTCCAAGATAAATCTTGACTTCCAAGTTGTGCCTTCCAGGAATCGAACTCCCCACGCTTGGTTCCAGAGCCCCCAATGTGATTGTTCCATCAACTTGGATGTGCCCCGGGGAGCAAATCAATCAACTACTTGATATCTTGGAAGGTGGATTCTGGGTTCCATGGGGCTTTTTATTTTTCTTTCCTTCTTTACGGTATTTTTCATTTTTCTTTCTTTTTATTTTATATATTCAAAATAATGCATAATGGCCTCTTTAATAAATATTTGGAGGTTTGATTCCACTGTTCAATCCAATAGATAAAAATACCAAAACATGTCAAAATACATATAAATCTCCTTATTCCTTAATTAGCTTTATCAAAAATTGGACCGTTGATTCTTCAATGTACTATTCGAGTAGTTCCACACCTTTCGATGAATTTGGTCATCAACATTCATTATAATCGCATAATCAATTCTTCATCCAAATCTTCGTTAAACTGTTAAATTATCACATAGCTCTCGAAAGAAATATGTTTCAATTTTTTAGTTTTAGATGCATACACCTAACTTTATAAGTTGGATCAGTCTGATAATTGGACAATAGACCAACTACTGATTTATATTGCAGTGTTACCTTTAAAAAGTTAGGGAAAATTGCACAAATATTGGTTTATCCTCTATTCAAATTACTTTGAAAAATTGAAGAGTCAGATATTTTTACAAGTAAAAAAGAAATAGCAACAAATTAGATTTACCAATGATTATAAGCTTTATAGAGAAAATCCTCTAACAAAATAACACAACAGATCACTTCAAATTAATTTTCGATAAACACGATAATTACATCGAACGATTTAAGAGCCTAAGATCCACTTCAGCTTAAATTAAAAGCTGGTATACGATAGGTTGAGTGCGACTATTTCATGGCTACTTATACCTATTGATAGTTCATCTTTAAAATATTTTCAAGCCTCACCTTCTAAAAAAAGTCAATAATCAAATTTTAATTCAGTCAAGCTCGCCTTATAAAAGAGTCTAATTGTCTAAATCAATTTCTAATTTAGTCCAAGTAGTTGAAAATCTGTATCTTATTCATTGAAATTCTAAACGAGAAATGGTCTCTGTATATTTTTTTATACTAATGTTCCTCGTTAAGATTTGAAATATTGCACCAAAAGTTCACAAATGTATCTAGACACGGCCATAGCCACATGAAATTGTAGGAAATAGTAGTTGACCTTTTCAAGAGAAAATCATGCCATTTGTCCCTAACCCTAACTTATTGCTCGAACAATAATTTGGTCCTCAAAATTTAAAATATAAAGAAAATTAGTTTTAGTAATTTTATTATAGTCGCGCATTCAATTTTTATTGATTACAATCCGCGAAAATTCTATTGAATTATCAAGTCGAGTAATTATTGAAATTAAATAAAAAAAAAGATTTACGTCTAACTAGATTGAGTAGTGTGTGAACAAAAGGAGACGATCACTTAATAAATTAGCCAAAAACAATTAATTTGAACGCGTCTATACACGTCTAGCTGACGTGGTGGATGCTAAATCGCGTTTCACTTCCATGCGATTTTGTCTATCTTGTGACAAGAAAACACTTCTTTTTCCTCTCATTACCCCCACAGACACGACTTTTGATCCTCTGACATTTTGAAATTCAACTCCCACAATGTCGTGGCAGTTGGCACCCTATTTCTTCTCTATATATATAAATCCTCAACCTTTTCTACCTTAGAAAAATAGAGCATTTTGAGATCATCTTTCTTGGATTTCTTTCTTTCAACGATTACTCCAATGGCCAAACAAAACCTAAAGATTTCTCAGCTTTCTGCTGCAATTCTGTTTATCTGCTTCTTCATTTGCCAACTTTCACCAGCCACCTGCAGAACCCTCAAGGGAGCCTTTCCGGGAGAAGAAAACATCATAAATTCAGACAAGAACATCGGACGGGGCGCCCCGATCGCCAGCAACGGTACAAAAGAGATAGAGAAAACGAGTACAGAATTTCATGCAACAAGGAAGAATGGAGAAGCTGCATATGGACCATTGCTTATGGCTATGCTTCCCAAAGGAAATGTGCCAGCCTCGGGACCGAGCAAAAAAATCAACAAAATCAACAATTAGCAAAATTGAGATAAGGGTGCGTTTGGATCCATGCATGTTTTGAATCTCTATTTGTTTATTCTTCATAAAGAAATGTATATATAATAGATTACTGAGGTATGAGGGATAATTCGGAGCTGATCAAGTTTCTTGTTTAGTTATTTGAAACGAGCACGTTTGGCTTAGGAAAAGAAAAGAAGCAAAAGTACTTATAAGTAAAATTTTATAAGCTAGCCAACATATGTGAGAACATGGATTTATGAGTAATTTTTACATTTTTGGAGGTTTAACTAAACCATCTCTCTCTATCTTCTTTCTTTTCTTTTCTTTTCTTTTCCCCATTTTTTTTTCTGCTAATTAAATTAATTTATCACCAACCTTTCGGGCGCATACAATGCTTACTCTATTACTTGAAACCACGTTTCAATTATGAAGCTAGACGGTAAAAAGATGTTATGTATGGGACAAATTAAACTCAGAGTAAATTAATTTGAAAACCTTAAAAATGAAAGTAGTTTTGAATTTATTTTATTTCATGAATTTTCTTTTTGATTGTAATCTGATTGACTCACAAGCTGGCTAGAAATTTCATTAGATTCAATATGAAAAGGCTAAAATTTTCTTGGATTTACATAATTATGGGTCAAAATTTATATATAATCCTAGATTTTGTTCACAAAAATTGAGTACGTTACTATTGAAAAAGTTGAGTAATTAACATTTGACATTTCTTTTTTACAGAAAAGACTTTTTTTATTAAATAATTTCATTCAACGTCTTCTTCATCTCAAAATATTGATGAAATTTTTTACTTCCTCGTTGAATTATATACTTTTCTATTAGTATGAAAGTTTTAGCAAAATTAAGAAAAAAAAATAATTTTAAAACGTTGTCGGTTGAACACAAAGTCAATGAAATACATTTAATTTAAGATAGGAATAAAATATTTGTTCTTATTTGAATCTTAATTAATGATTTTTTCCCTCATATCAATGCTTTTAACTTCATGGAAGTCAATGTTTTGTAATTGCAAAGGACCGGTGCCTACGTTACGTACTATGATATCTCTATATTTATATTGGCAAAAAGAAAATTCGTATTATTTAAAACTGTTTTTATGAACTATGAGTCACCGTTTCTCTCCTAAATTACTTCGAACAGTTGGATTTTATAGAAAAAAAAATGCAAGTTCACCTAATATTTGTATGTATATATGCATGTAAAACCTTTTCTGAATATATTATGGAATATTAAATTAATTTGTTATCCCTTTGTTTGAACGAAGAAAATCAAAGTTGGCCGCTGGCCGGCAGTATTGACCAGTCAATTGTAAGGGGTGGCGTGGAATGTTATGAAGACGGTGAAGTGTTTTTGTTGGTCTAATATTATGATGCTTAACATTTGTGAGACAACATATTAATTTAGGGGGAAAATAATAATTCAGGTGTATTATTTTCATCAAAAATCAGGTAGATAGTTTAAAAATTCAAAATTCAAAATATATATTTAATTAATTAAAAATATTTATAAAATAAATATAAAAAAGTCATAGTTATACGATTAATGGCCACGGACTCATAACTATAGGTCACAGATTTTTTTCCCA